ACTATAAATTGAAAGGATTGGTAGCTTTATATATCTATAAGCCCTCTCCATATATACGCTTACAACCTATGTAGAGTCTCTATCTATGAGCGCCATAATGTATTCCAACGGCTATATGCTGGTAGATTTTTTTCATCAGGCCTGTGGATATGGTCAATTCATGAGAACAAACCTTAGTATGAAATATGATATTTTTTATGTCACGGGCCCAGGACTCTTAGTCTTGATATAACAATGTTTCATTCCGTTCAGGTGATTTCAAATTCGAAATAAACTCTGGTACAAAGTCACTCTCTAGTCCCAAAGTTCCTAGGTGTAAGCGAAAGTATAACAAAAGGAATACATGTCGCATTCAATTTCCAATATTTTTTTTTTTAGATATTAACCTCCATACCAGACTGAAACGACTAGAAACCGCCCGACGTTTCTGACTACTGCAGCACTTACTACACAAACGCTCTAAACTTCCAATTAATTACAAAAGACTCATATACTTGACTATAATAAGGCCTATTTGGACTTACGGAGTTGAGCTATGGGACTCCACTAAACCATCGAATTCTTCTCGTATCCAATCCTTACAATCAAAAATCCTTCGTAAAATCCTCAACGCTCCTTTGTCACAAATAAAATCATCCATAAAGACATTAATGTTCCATATGTTTCCGATTTGGCCCAATCTAGATACCTATCCTTCCATAACAAACTGCAGAACCATCCGAATCCTCTCGTTTCAAACCTTGCTTCCTCCTCGATCCCTGATAATCCTCCGAGGCGGCTGAAAAGAAGATGGCCTCTGGACCCTCTAATATAGAAGTTGAATTTAAGTTCTACCAATAGGGTAGTTTCTCTTCATGTTGTACATGTCATGTTACCAATGTTGCATTTACTTGTTGTATTTTTCATGTAATACTGTTGTAAATTTCATTAAAATAAAAAAAATATATATATGTTTTTTTCCGTTGAAAATATTTAATTTCAAACTAATTCCCTTCAAGTTACTTTTATATGCTTTATGGATTGATTCACTTATGCTAAACGTCATCCATTACAGTGCAAAATTAGTACGAATCTCATTATCTTATTTTTCCCGTTTAAAGTAAACTTTTTCTTTTAGAGCAGAAAATATTTTTATTCTCGGACGAAGTCCCTTTTGAATAACAAAAAAGTACAAAATTAAAGTATTATATCTGGCCTAAGTGAAAACAAATTTTAGTAAGGCAAATCAAAATTACTTCTACTTTTAATAATGGAGCGGGACTCCTAAGCAGCTGACTACATTACCTTTATAAAAATTCGGCACTGTCAACTATCCAAATTTTGGGAACCCTTTCACTGAACGTAGTTCCGAAAACCCGGAATCGCGTCCGGTCATACTTGCCGTACCCAGCAGGCGATGTTCCCGTTCGTTCAAATTAAAAACCTGTTATAAGAAAGTGGAACAGGTAACAAATAGCCTAAGAGAAGCTACATTCACGCCAGTGAAATATTTCGCTCAATCGTGTGTCCACATCACCATCAGCATGATCGTTTCCTCATATCCTGTGTATGTTTCTTTTATTTTAAGTTTCCATTCTATTTGAAAAAAATCGGTCCATTATAGTAATGTTTTAAAAATAAATTAATTTTCTTACAGCTTACTTTCTTATAACTCTTTAAATATTAAATAGCCTAAGGCTTTTTTTTATTTATTTATTTTTTTTTTTTTGGATTTAGAGACCGTATAACCTTTTGCCACCTTAACTACTCTTCTCCATATCTACCAATCATGGACTGTTTATTTCCAGTTTTTGCCTTTCACGAGGTATTTTACCTACTATTGAGTCCTATATAAAACAATAACAGCTGAAGCATTATTCGATTTAGTTGTTATTTATTTTAATGATTGTTACAGAAATGTTAGCCCAGCTAAATCTCAGAATAAATAAATTTACAGTCTATTTCATTTCATGGCAAATTTATATACAGAATATAATTTCTTATATTTATTATTCTTATGAACGCATATAAATAGCACCCAAAATTTAATTGATTAAGAAAATAAATTAACTCACTCTTTTTTAATTTTATCGGATAGACATCTTACTTATCCTTAGCAATATGTATTTTCAATTACTCGGGCCCTTGCTTTATGATCACATACATAGTTTCTGGAATAATTAATAATAAAAATTGTCAAATGAATTGGTCAATTACTCCAAGTTCAGTAAGGTTTTCATATGATAATTCCATGGCTGTTAAAGGTAAGATGACATCACTGAATCTCGTAAAAGATTAACTGTTGTACTGTTGTATTCAGAAGAAATGAACAAAAGAACTATCACTGGTCTAAAGATGGAATATTGATTAAAATTTTAACTTAAAGAAGTTTTATTAAGTTTCATTACATCATCGTTTTTTTTTTTATAAAATCATCAAATAAACTTTTGAAAAGGCTAAACTTTTAAGTTATTATTGCAAAATTTCAACGATGTAAAAAAAATCATTAAATTCATCGAAAATTACCAACCCTATTATTTATCAAAAAAAAAATATATATATAATTTTAAGCGGACAATGTTTTGTTTCCACAGAAGAAAAACCCATCAAATTATTAAATTGAACAATATAAATACAAATTGTGCAATCAGAATGCACAATCACAAGTGTTTATTATCTTTTAAAACCGTTTTGTGATTTTTTTTTTTGTTGTGTAATTCAACAGGAAGCTAGTCTGGATCATTAACGATGTAAACGTATTATTCTTTCGAGGGAAACGTTTTAGCTTTATATTTTGACGTACTTTTTTCTGCTTAGCACTTGTGGCAATTAAGAACAGGTTTATATATGATTCGCTTATTTGTAAAGTGACCTTACTCGATTTTTTCGGAAACTGAGATAAGTATGTAAAAATACTTAATGAATCCAATGGTCCAATTATTGCCATCTAAAATAATTATAAAAACCTAAATATATAAAAAGTGGTTTGAAAATAAGTTAATTAAAAAAATATCTATGAAAAGTATTTTATTTTGTTCCCGAATGTTTCTAGATAGCAAGTTGATTTCATTCCAAACTGAGCAACAAAGCATAGTAGATTAAGAAATATCTTTTTTTTTTCTCAAATGCGATTCTAATTTTCAATTCAATCTACAGGTTCTCTGTGTTTTCCCCTTTTATTATTCCTTGTTTTAAACGTTTTTTTTTTTTTTTTAGTCCAGTTCTCGTAGCAGTATATCAAAACTGGCTACATTGGAACAATACACAGCCTAAATTTGAGATTTATAGATTTTTTTTTTCGGGATTTCAGTAGCCTAATAACAGAGGAAATAAGGCTTCTTTTTTTATGATTTTTTTTTTAGTTTTAATTTTTAGCTTGTTAAGTGCAGGTCCATGTCTGAAACACAGAAAACGAAAATAGGCTGAATCATTGTTACATCGTCTGCGCAGATTAATACCAATGTCTACCTAATGTATTTTTACCGCTACGATTAGTAATTAAAGTTAAAGGAAGGGAAAATTAAAGGGGTGCTGCCTCGAGACCTAGGAAATCCCTTAGTCAAGTTTGTTCAAGTGCGCTCGACGATTCGATCTAAACCTTCATACGGCCCAAGGGTACATTCTTCTTGAGTATTCCAAATCTGCAAAAATCGACCCAATCAGTGCGAGATTGCTATGGCCCTACATGTATCACACCCAAGCGTACTATTTGCAAGCTCCAAGTGACTACCACTTATTCCGGTCTCTGTAGAACTCCATGAATGGAAAGAAATTCCAAAAGGAGGAGGACATAAAAAACACTTGAATCAGTTTTTTTTTAACAATAAGCTCCAGAAATTCTATGAATATGACATTATGCAATTAGTGGAAAGATGGGAAAAAATAATAAAAAAACTTGTACCACTACAACCCATGAAGGGTCTTGGGTTCAGTAATAGATGTTTTCGATATAGTTCAGAATTTTTACAAAAGATTCTCATTTTTTCTTCTCATCATTAATGTTATTAGTTACTAGTTGGTCCGTGTGAATAATTCGCAAAAAATTTTCTTTACTGAAAAAATGTCAAAGGAATATGGAAATAAGTAGTTAGTATGTATTATGTAAGGAAGGAATTAATATTTTTTCCTTGGTCGATTACAATATTTCATGAAACATAATAGACCAAAATATTTGTACAAATTGCTTTGCTAGGACCTATTTTTAAACACTGAATGGTAAGATAATAAAAGTAATAAAGGGAAAATAATTCCTCGATCATGGAAAATTCTAAATTATAAAAAAAATAAAATGTAATGAACAAACAAATTTCTTTATGAAATAATAAAATTAATATATCAGCCAGGAAAAAAATGTAGTAGACTATTCTACTCCCAAATGCAATATCTTTAAACAGAAAGACATTATTAAGTATACCAGAACTAATGGACTGTATCTTTGTTAACAATTGTCCGATTTTTTTTTTTGATTTTTAGGTAATTTAGTAATCTTTCTGATTATCATGGGTACAATCTAGAAAAGAATGCATACTTTTTGAGTTATTCACAAATAAAGTTTTTTTTCCTCCATAACTTTTTTTTTTCCAGAAATTTCGGAGAGATGGGGCTATTTTTCGTCTGTGAAGGAGAAGAATATCTTCAAAATTAGTGATCGATCATTGGATTTGATGAAGTTATGGCGTACTGACAAAAAAACACCTTTTAGAAATAATATATAGGATAAGTCGTAAAATGAAATGGAAAGTGAAGCAAACGTATAAATTTAACTGCTCCACTGAGTGAAAAACACGGTAATAGATTGTTATGAATATGTTACGCCTTCTATAATTTTTACTTTCATTTCAGTATACCTGTATTAAAATACCTATTTATACTAGTAAGTACGTAAAAAAAAAAAAAAAATTAATTAAAAAGTTCAAGTAAGGTGGTAAATGAAAGTTGTGTGATGCGCGTACAAACATATTCGTTTCTTTGCAGAGAAACTATTATCTGCCTAATTTACTTCCTCTTGATCTTGAACTCGTATCGCCAAGCTCAATGATGTTCCCAGTGGCTGCAACAGGTATCCCTCTCCCAATACTCCCCACTAGTCCCTGGCTGAGCGTCGTCCCGATATCAGTCGAGATTTGGCGCGATGGAAGTCTGGTTCGAGGGTCTAACCTGCTGGGCACCCATGTCCAGTGAGTCTTGTCTTTGTCTTATCGAAGGATATTTAGTAGCAATTTTTTAATTAAATAATGTCATTTCTAAGATAACGTAATAATTAATCAGGAATATATCACACTATTTTTTTTTAATTTATTTATTTTTTTTATACCACACTAAAATAATTTTTCATATTTATATCCACTACTTGATAAACACATTAAATGAGAAACAGTTTTTATATAAGTATCTCATAATATATGCGAATATATACATTATGCTTTTAATGCGATCGAATATTCATACATTTTTTTAAGGAATTAAATAAGTAATGCTTTGATATTGTGCGCTTACATTAAAGCCATAAACATGTATTTAATAAAATTATATAATTTATTATATTTATAAATGTGTTAATGTACATGTGTCCATCACAGTCCGGGGATATGTACATGAAAATAGATGTTTGATTATTAAAGGTAGAGTAATAATGTTTTTTCTTGACGTGTATATTTTGACAACAGCAAATAAAAATCAAGTTTTTCAAAAAAAAATCTTTAAATTTTTTAAAAAATCGTTTCCAATTTTTTCAGTAGTTTGTAAGAGAATGGTTGTTCTGTTCATTTATAAAGAAAAGATAATTCTCTAAGACTTTGAGCCTCATACGTTTTTTAAAAGCAACAGCATGCGTAGTAAAAATAAAAATAAAAAATAAGGTAACTCCAACTCACCTAAATGCGATAAAAAAAAAAATCCTTTTGAGGCGATTTTTTCCCAACTTCCTGCTGATATTGATCCCAGAGTCATTTTAAATTTTATTTTTTATCATGCAGCAAAACTAATGTCAAGTTCGCTATAGTCAGTTCAGAAATTTGTCCTTGCATACGTAGTAGATAATTTTGTGATTCAAATTCTGGGAATTTATACAGGATGTCCCGTTTATAACGGGAAACATGAAAAACAAAGATAGCAGACTTCAAGATAAACAAAACAAGTACATATGGACGGACCACGGTCCGATTCAACGTAAGAAATTCAAGTTTTGTGTTTTTTAAAGTGTCCCATTTTTCGTTTTTTTTTTTTTTTAATAGAAAGCTAAAGCTAAAGACAACTTAACTTAGATAATTAACAAATGCAGCAGAACAACCACCACAACATTGTCTTAAAAAATAATTGTGGATTGATCGGTGAGTGAAGTGAATAATTGAAGAGAAGAATAGTTGGGGTGATCAGTAAAAAATAAAAATAAATAAATAATTATATTTATTTTTGCCTACGTTTCGGGCCAAAGTTCAGGCCTTCATCAGGGCTGGTCAAACGAAGGGACGCCGCAATACAAACTTATTATGGCAAGAAAGACTAAGACTCTAGACTAAGAAATACTCTTCCTTACCGTAATACGTTTGTCTTGCGACGCCCCTTCGTTTTACCAGCCTTAATGAGGGCCTGAACTTTGGTCCGAAACGTCGGCAAAAATAAAAATAAATATATAATAATTTATTTTTATTTTTCCTGATCCCCCTAACCATTCTTGTCTTAAAAAATAAGTAGAATTAGTCCTTGTTGAAGGTACTTTTAAACGGTTACATTATACGTACATATCGTCCTGTTTTTTATTAAATATTGAATTATTTCATGGATTTTTTTTATAAGCCTCCTAATTTTATACAGATTCCCCACTTTTAGAAAAACTTAATTAACTTAATTTTTGTTACTCTCATGTACGAAATATAAATACTAATTTATATTAATATTATTTGTACGAAATAAAATATTAATTTTCTTTTCTTTGAATGGATCAAACAAGCATTCTTCTGCAAAAAAGGTTTGCAAATATATTTTTAATATACTAAAACGTATCTAAAAATTTCAAGTTTTTAAGAAACAAAATATTTTCTCGAAAGAAATTTTGTTGTAAAAATTGCTTCTCTTATGTAGACCTTAATATATGCATGGATATATTCAAGTTAAAAAAAATGTGTCATTTTACAAATAGTCCGAGGAACAGATCACCATTTATCACATTATTCATATTCCTCTGAAACTTCGTGAGTGGCTTCATTTTATCGCAAATATAACTTTTTTATCTACGAAATTTGTCGAAAAAATCCGGAGATTAATAAATATTTCACTTTCATGAGGTGCTAAAAAATGATAATTTGGTCAAAAAATCAAGAAAAAATTAGGCCTACAAACATATTGGGCCGTTTAACCTGATTAACCTCGTTATTTTGGCATGGTTAGAGGTGAAGGTAAATATTTTTGGAGAATGCTTTTTTTCTCAATCACATGATCAAATTAATTTATTTGATTTAAGCAGAAAGTGAGGGGGTATTCATAAATATTTAGTACATCATTAAAAGTGACACCAGATTTTTCTGAGAATTTCGGTCAGTCAAAAAGTTGTAGATAACTGTAAAATGGCTTCATTTCGTGAAGATTTAGACGATTGTTAATAGATTTGCAAAAGAGGTCTGTACCACTGGCATGTGAAACATGTGCATTTCCTCTGGGTTATCGAACGGCTATAGTAAACGCGGAATTCCACTGAGGCAACACTGAACGACATGTTGCTTGATACTTATTTCCTAGCGTTGCCCATTGTAGCCGTCCGACTATGTGGCAAGAAATTCAGTTAATGTCGCATGCGGAATTTGTTGTCCCATATCGCATGCGCTTTGTCGTTTACTTGTGTAGCATGCGACTAAAGCGATTCCATTCAGGCAACTTCAGTTTGGTACATCATGTCATTAAAAATAGTAGCGGCAGCTGCATATTTAGAAATGGCTTTAAATCATAAAAGGAAAAGAAAACACCATGATATTTGAGAAGAGAGCTATAAATCGATGTTCAAGAAATTCAATATAATTTAATACTTTACGCTTAAAGAGTAGTTGAAAATTTATTTTAGTCCGAGGATTTGAGAAAATGTTGACAATATTTGATTAAAAATTAAAAAGAGTTTTTTGAAAATATTTATATTTAAAAAATGAGTATGCCAGTCGGATCTTGCTACCTGTAAAAATTTTTACTTCCTAATGTAAAGAAAATAGCGTAAAGTGTGGGTAACGTTATTATTAATTAGCTTGCATATAAGGGTTCAGAGATGTAAATACTTTCATGAAGAAATAGCGAATCCCGATTCGAGAAATGTAATTGATCTATATTAAAACTGTTAGTAATCAGTGGACGCTGAATTTGATGCTCTATAGCTTTTATTCTATGAGTTTTTATCTAAGAGAAATCATTCCCAAGCTACAGCGCCATTTATACTAATTTGTCTGTTTTTCACGAGTTCGATTAAAATCGGCGTTCGTTGACCGCGGCTAACGAACATACCGATTAACCAAATTATTAAGTTTCGATACTCGTTCGACGCCCAATTTAACTTTTAATTTTAATTTATGAAAGTGTTTTTCGCTTTGTTCCACCGTTTAGGAACTATAGGTGAAAAAACAAAGAAATATCTAAATAATCTGGCTTTTTTGGCTATAAAAAGTTTTATCTTGGTGGTCCCCGCGTCAGCAATTTTGTTTTTACATGTCTCAACCAATATATACAAGTTAAAAAAATAAAAACCTTTTCCACATTTTTCACAATGAATTTCTCGTTTCGATCCTCAAGTTAATGGCCCAATATTCATTAAGTCAGTTGCCATTCTTACAGGAAGTAAGATCAGACTGGCAAATTCTCATTTTTTAAATAAAGATTTTATAAATATTCGAAAAACGCTATTAAAATTGTTATCAAATAATGTAAATTTCTTCTTATGGGCTCTCGAACTATTTGGGATGCTAGCAAGTGTATTTCGCGTCATCACTTATGTTCAACATCGTGTCATCACCTAAAATCTCAGCAGTTGACAATGTTGATTTAGATACATCGATGACCAATGAAAAATTCAGTAGCTCATAAGCAAACCATTTCCCGTTTTTCTTGGAGATGAGCCATTCTTTTCTTGCTAAAGTTTTTCGCGATGCAATGCTGGAAAATCCTTAATTAATTTTTACCTCTGTCGCCGTACAATTATATTTCCCTATTTAAATAAATTAACGATTAATAATTAAACCAATTATTTTTACCTGCATCACCGTACAATAATTATATTTATCCAATAATTTTTTCAACTTATTGTTTCTAATTTTTATATCTTTGTATTTGGCGATTTTATTATTTCATAATGCGGCAGAATTGTGGTAATCGCCAATAAAAGACGTAGTTTTTTTCGTTCGTCTGCTCCATGTTGTCCGCAACAAACCGCATCGATCGGAGGGCTGTTCGACAAGTTGAATCATATGGAAACATGACGCATTCGACAGGCAACAACGATCAACATGTAGCATGCGGCAAGGAGATTTATTTTTTGTCGCTTTGCGTTCCTTCTATGGAAAGACTGTGTGTAGCATGCGCCAATGTCGCATGCCACATGTTGCCTAAAAGTTGCATCAGTGGAATTCTGCGTTAAGTTTTACTTTATCAAAACCATCTTTATTTTAAAGTTTCTAATGCTTCTCTTATCCCTACTTGCAGAGTATGTGCTGTACGTCTTATTTATTTTATTTTTTTCAATTCCATACATAATACAAATAAAATTATTGACGTTTCGTCTAAATTTTTCTCTGAATAACAAGACTGTTCTATAAATATTCAGATCCACAGTAAGCACGTTGTTTGTTAGCAATGAAGTTTAGATTATGTTGACTTTTATTGAAATAAAAAGCATTATTGCTTCTGTAATTATTTTATTTTTTTCTTTCAACAGACCTTCAAGGACCACTTATCATTTCGTATTCAGTTTCAGTTTCTGTTTTTCTTTCACAGTAATTACCTTACATATAAATTAAATAAATATTGTTAACTGTAAATATTTTATTCATTGTTTTGTAACATTTTTTGACTTTATGTACTTTTATAATTTATTTATTTAATTGTTTGGTTTACTCTATCCCTGAGAGTCATAGTCAAAATTATATTATTTTTGAATTTTTTTTCCACTAAAAATTTCATCAGTTTGTATATGGTTGACAATATCGGA